CTGCATGGAAAACAAATAAAAATGAATATCTTGATGATTTGTGAATTTGCACAAACTACAGAAAACTAAAAGACATACATGTTTTATGGAGGAAAAGTCTTTTTCTATTTGAGCCTTATGTTTTAGCGTTTCGTGATATAAAGAACTTATCTTGATCATCTTTAATTCCTCATCGCTCCAAAATATCTACAGAAATAAAAATTGTGCTTTAAGGAAATAACACAAGGGAATTTTGTTATCAAATCTGTGACTTGATAAAAGGGTAAAAAGGGAAATACTGTGCTATGCATCTCTGCAACCGGTGGCAAACAGCTGATGTAAGGGGCCCATTCAGAAGCCTGCATTAACGAACAGAAGATAAACAAAGAACCACTTGGAATGTCTTCTCAAACAGTTTGAAAGAAAAATGTACAAAATTGGTACCTGGCCAAGTTTTTGGTGCATTAAGATGATCAATGCAAGCTTTGCAACATTAGTGACATCATCTCCTAACAAAGAACTTATTGAAGGAAGAAGATTATCTGGGGCCAGTTGCTGCAAAAATGTCCACATATGACATGGTACCTTTGGGATTTATAATCATGGAGCACAAAACAGTTATAAATATTCAGTAAAGCATACCATTCTGTAAGGAACTTTCAGTATGCAATCACCAGCATGTATTGGTTTACAAGCAAACAATGACCTGCATTTAGGACATATCATAGATGAGCGAAAAGAATTTGCAAAATCATAACAATATTTGAAACATACAAGTTACCTGCCATGAATTGATTTTCCTACAGAGAGCACGGACGAAATTTCCTCCCCAGCCTTCTGCCTTAACCACGGCAAGAAATCGACACAATCCTCTTCTACATGTTGGGGTGCCTGAGTCAAGTGAACTCATTCAGTAATTTTATCAAACAGTTGGCAGACATGGATAAAACAAAGTCCTCCTTTGATTGAGTTTAGCTTTGAACCTGTAGTGGAGAAGATGATGTGGAGAAGTTGCACCTGATGCGGAGGCAGCACCGGGAGGGAGCGAAGAAGGGCCGTTGGATTCGAACACCTAAAATTAGCATAGCAATGTGTGAAATGGTGGTCCGTTCCGACTTCCGACTAAATGTTTTTGTTTGAGTTGAGTTGTTCTCCCTACCGATATTTTCAAAAAGAAAATATGATGTTTTTATGACCTAAAATCATAGTAAATTTTTTTTTTCCTTGTAACGAAAACGACAATACATGTCTTGTTGGATATATATCACCTTCTTGTAAATTACCATGATCACGACAACCATTCGACAAATCCTACTAGTACTTGCCACACCGTGCATCCACTAGAATATGCCGAGTTAACAAGCTTCTTCGGCAATAAGCTGCTGCCGAGCCCTTCCCCTCCCTTGACCAGCCAATCACAAAGGTTATATTTTTTTTCAATTTAAAATCTCTACAAACCACAACCTTAAATTGCAATGAAATTAAGTGGTGTGACAAAAATAAAATGACGCTTATGTGACATCAAAAAATATAACAAGGGTGACACCACTCTCTCTAACCTAATAAAATATCTAGGAGTAATGAAAGTATGAAACCATGTATAGGAGGAAATATAGAATGGTAAGGATGAGACATCTATAATGGGGATTGAATGAGGGTTTAATATAATTAAATTGAATATGATATAAAAGAAAGAGATGATGGAGTAACGCATAATAAGAGATTTCAAGTGCAAAATGGTGGGTTTTTTATGAAGTGAATAGAATGTACATATTCTCTTTTCTACTTGGCACTCTATATAACTCTCCAAGAGTTTAATATTGATGCCCTTCGGGACGTTAGAGATGTATTTCCTAGTTTGTGGAAGTGATTCTCCTAGCCCATGATCATAAATGGAAGATTGGGTCATCATTATCCGAGATGAGCCTGAGATTATGCTTTGACACCCAAATTAGAGGACGTATACTCATGAGTGTGTGTGTGTGTGTATGTGAGATGAATACAGAATGAGAGTGAGATCACTTACTGAGACCTCCTATGAAGATCCACTTTTCGGTTTGCAAAAGTTATGGTATGATGTGCTTTAAGCATATTTGTTTGATGTTGATGCCCATCTAACTCTAATGGCGGCTCAAGTTATGAGCTTTCATCTGTTAAGATCGAGTTCTTTGCTACGCCTCATGACCCAGAGGTTGCAATTGCAAATAGATCTCAAAGGTGATGCGTATTGGATTTTGATCCTACCTAGGTTATTGATATAGATGTTTTAAGCGATGCATATCTACATGTCGGTAGTGTGAAATGGTAGAAAGTCGTTGAATCTGAGCATGATATTGAATATTGATGATCCTAAGTGAAAGTATTATTTTAGATTGATGATGAAGCGATCGATGATTCCCATCGTGCTTTCATATCTCCTTGGTCATAAGTGGATGAGGTGCTCTCTGCCGACCATTTGTCAGTTGAATTTGTTGATCCTTTTGGACAAGATGAAAGGGGTTCATGGGAATGTTAATGCTTTTGGCGATGTTTGGGTCACATTGATACTAGTTATGGTTTTGTCACCAATTGGAAGCTTGTTTATGTTCTCTCATGGAAAATTAAGATCGATGACAACCTCCTAAAGCCTAACACAAGACTCATTTTATGGATAATTTGCCTCCTCTTAAGACTAGACCTACTTTGCAAAGCATTGGGATTTGAAGATTTTTGTCTTCTTCCAAGATGACTCTTGAGCACTTAATCATTTTTTAGGATGTGATAGGCTTTGATGTACCATAACAATTCTCAGTCTTGTATGTATTTTTATTTTATTATTTTTTTTTTGGAACGTCATAATTTTATTAAAAAACTAACAAGATGCTAGAAAAAAACTCAATACAAAGAAACAGAAGTCAAAGCTGGGTTTCGTAACCAAGAAACCCAAACCAACTTAGCTTTTTTACACCTATTAGAAATCCAAAAAAACGTTATATCTACCATATCATAAAAAAATAAAAGATTTCCTAGGTAAAGTCGTCCCAAAGAGAATGGACTTTCAAAAAATCCATAACCACCAAAAAACTGTCACCACCACTACATCAAAAGCCTTGTGTTGCCATTCCCATCGGTCTAGCGGTATCGGCCCAACAAACTAACGGAAGAATGGAAATTGGATTAGGAATATGCACATCCCACCAAATCGCGATACGCCCCCACAAGTGACTAATCTCCCAACAGCCTGCAAAAAGGTGTTTAATCGTCTCTACAGAATGAGAACAAACAAGACACATAATCGACTTCACATCAATATCCCTATACGACAGTCTCTCTCGTGAGAATACTATGCAACAACACTCTCCAAAGAAGAATATTCAACTTGATAGGAACTTAATTATTTTATCTAGTTTCCAATCTTGATTTGACTATTATCATGAATTAATGTTTATTTGTGTTACATATCATTAAATAACACAAATATGAATAAAAAAACATTGATCCATAGCACCTGTAAGAATATAAAGTAAATATAAACTATAATCACATGTAACTAACGATGTTCCTTATTTTAAATAATACTGTATATACTTATTAACTTATTTTTAAATAAAGTAATCGTTTATCAACTTGTATGGTTGACTAAACCATACAAAAAAAATCAACAAACTTCATTTTGTTGATTACTATAATGAATAATCGTATCACATGGTCCGCTATTGAGCACAATCCATCCTTTCTCAAAGTAAATATTACCATTATTATAAAAACTAGTAACATAAAAGCATCGGCTTCTATTCACATAGTGACATAACCACTGGGTAGACCTTGAACAAAAAAGTCGACATACAAAGGTTAGATATAAAATAAAGCTTCATATGCATGAAACTGTAGAGAAAATTCTATCGCCAGACATTTAACTTGTACCAGAAAGATCGAGCTTAAAGAACCACAAACTGACTGCAAAATTTAATTTGTATTTATTCCCAATATATATGGACGTTATGTAAGAACTGCATGAAAAATAATTCGTATTTACTTCCTATAATCTTATTGAAAGAAAGTCATAGTCATTCAATATCAACACTCTTAAGTTTTTTTTTTTTTTTTCCGTTGTTACTTGATCTTACTTAAACTACAAATAATGGATAATGTTACTGGTTGGCCTTCTTTTGCAGCCTTCATATTAAACTCATAAAGTAATGTCTGAGTTTGGGAGGCAGAACACCAACAATCAATATCGGCTTGGAAACGACATACTCAATTGAATCTAGATCATAGCCAACGAACCAAGAATCCGAATGACATCAATAATCACATTGCAAAGATCATGTAAATCATAATAGGTGAATTACCTCTAAATCCTTAAACAGACTCCAATACGTCTCATGACTAATTAACGATCATAAATTCTAATTGTATGGTGATACAGCTTATTATAAATAAATAAATAAATAAATAAAAATTTGCGAACAAAAGTCTGACTCACGACCTTAACGAGCTTTATATGGTATGAATTTTTGAAACCATAATATCTCTCAAAAGTATTTCTTGCGGAACATAAATTTTTGTCCAAGAATGTTTAACTGTGACGTTTTATGTCATAAAATTAAAAACTATTCTAACAAATGCACGAAAAATCTCACGAAAGTCATGGACATTTACTAAAATTAGAAACAAAATAGTCATCTTTTGACATAGTACATTACATATGACCTTCGAAATCAGGGTACCAATAGGGGATTCTGTTTTAAGTATTGCTACCCTGGTTTCAAAGGTGTAGGTTGTTTCTCATATTAGTGAAGCTCTAATAGATTTCTCAATAAAAATAAAAGTTGGATGCTATAAGCCTATACTAAACCAAATTAACATAAGTAAGTTGCTATTTTATGTATATAAACATTTTCAGAGTTCCAATCGATTGTTATGGCCATTTTAACAAATAATTATAGTATATATATTTCAATCGTTGAACAAAAACTAAATACAGAAACAGCTGTACCAATCATCCATGCCAAGTACTGCGTGTCAACCGGAGCACCTCACTACGACTGTGGCCAAATGCTGACCTTTTCCTTTTCAACCTTACAATACACCGCCGTAACGGCAGCCACAAAATAAACCTGAATAAAAATGATCGACGGCGTATGGTATTTTATCACACTCTCTCCCGTCGCCAGCTCCACTAACACCAACGCCGCCAACCCAAGGGCCGCCATCCGTCCATTCATCCTCTCCGAATACGGGCTGAATCCGAAATCCACTTTCACTCCACCTGAAATAGGCTCCTTCAAAGGCACCGGTGGGAGGTACATGTTTGCCCCCGATCCGGAACTCCCACCGGATTTCTTCCCGGACTTCTTGCTCTTCCGTGCGTCGGCTTTCTTCCCTGTGCCACTCCGGTAACGCAGACGTACCTGTGAGAGTCGGTCCTCGAAACTTTCAGTCTCGGGTGATTCGGAGGTGGGACCATCGGTAGAGGAAGAATCATCGGGGGTTGCTTTCGTTGTGAAGGAGAAGGTTAGGGGCAGCGGCGCGTGGGATCTGAGTGGGGACAGAGGGAGTGGTGATGAGAAGAGAGGGTTGGAGGACGCCATTGCTGATAGAAGTAGAACCTCTCCTTTGGGACGTGGGTGTGGCTGCTTTGGACTTTGGAGTAGATAAGAAATGTTACTTAATTCCATTATAATTTTCATATTATTATATATATTAAAATAAAACTGTTCATGGATAGTATAACTTCATGATTTTAAAATTAGGTTAATTATTAAAAAAAGATTATATATTGATTTTTTCTATTAAATCTTAATTTTATTTTATTTTTCTAAAAAATCATTTATATATTTCCTATTTCCCTATTTATCCCTTTTTATTTTTATTTTTTCGATTTATCATTTTTATATATATATTTTTTTCATTTAGCCCTTATATTTTTTTATTTTTTATTATTAAATCTCAACTTTATTTTTTTTAAAACTTTTACATCATCGTTATTTTGGAATATTTCTTTCATGTGCTTTTATAATTTCATAATAGATACTTCCAGCTTCATAATGGTTTGTATAAATCTAAAGAGGTTGTTGTAACGACCCAAATTTTCTAACATTAATCTAAGAGGATTATCAGATTTTTATCTAACAATTGTGGAATTCTACCAAAATTAAAACACTTTAAATCTCAGGGTTGATCACGGGTTTACAATAAATTCTACTACATAAAAGAACAACAAGGTGAATACAATAATTAAATCTATTCTAGGTCCTTGTGCTTCCGTCTTCTTCTCTTGTACATCAGCTACTACCTGAATCCCAAAAACATGAAACTATCTACTACATCAGCCCATAGGTATGATGCGTTATATTCTAATATGTTTTCATCTTCATCTAACTCTTATTCTTTGTCTTCCTTTATCTTTCCATACTCCATTTTTTCTTCTTTATTTTGTTTCTCATATTCTACAATCTAACATCTGCCTCTTAATAGCATACATTGCTATTATTCTCTTTCATTTATCTCTTATACTATTCTCTGTTCATTACTTTATACTCTTTCTCATATCATTTATCTCCTTCTCTGCCATCTACTCTTTTTCTCATACTTTTCTCCAGATACATCCGCATACATTGCGATTAGTATCCCTTGTGGTGGATCTGAAAGGCCCACATACATCCGTATGGATGAGGTGTAACACCCCTACTTTCAGGTATAAACTTCTCAGTCTTACATTTCTAATTGAAAGGTTGACTCGACGAGTTGGGTGCCCTGACTCGTCGAGTAGGCACAGTTTTGGTCGCGGGTTTTAAGTGACCAACTCGATGAGTTGGAGGACAGACTCGACGAGTTGGAGCTGGTGGATGAAACCCTAATTTCCGGGGTTTTGCACCCTATTTAAAGGGTCATTAGCCTCCCTTAGCCTCCCTTACGACCCCCTTTGAGTCCAAAAACCCTAAATCGCGTTTTCTCCCCATATTTGTGTGTTTTAAGCTTGAAAGGTGGATCTTGGTGAGAGGAGCTTGGAGATCAAGAAGCTTTGAGAGAGGAACAGTTGAGGGATCTGAAATCTACTTCATTTTTGCATCACTTGAAGGTAACAAGTCGTTACCTTGACTTTTCTCATTCTAGATCTCTTTATGTTAAATATTAGGGCCATTTTAGCTTGTTTGGTGTTTCATTTCGGGTATTGAACATGATCTGGAGTTGCAACTTCAGATCTAGACTCATCTTGGTTCTTATGGTCATAAAGTTTCAGCCTTTTGCAAGATAATGCCTTATCCTCACTTAGAACCTCTTCTCTAGCTTGATTTTGGCCATTAGCACCTTGCAAGTACGTAAAGTTTGCAAATTTACGTAGAAAGTATGCTCTAGGAACTCAGATCTGCAATATGGATCTTTGGGGTGGCTTATAAGCATCTGAATGGGAAAGGACTGAAGAGACTCGACGAGTTTCATGGCCAACTCGGCGAGTCCGATGAAGATTAGCCTTGAAGGTTTCTGCATGAACTCGGCGAGTCAGTAGGATGACGCAAAGAGCCAATTAGGGTTTCCTTGACTTCTGATTATGCATAGACTCGACGAGTTGGTGGTAAACTCAACGAGTCAGTGCGGGCTTTATGACCTTCTGAACCCTTAAGGAACTCGACGAGTTGCTAGCTGCACTCGATGAGTTGGGCCAACATGGACTGTTGACTTTGACCGTTGACTTTGACTTTGACCAAGGGTTGACCAGTTTGACCTCTGGGGGTATTTTAGTAAATTGGGAATTTATGGGAGCGGTCTCATGGAAAATATAGGTGGTGGAGTTCGTGGCTGTGGTTCGAGAGTTTGAGCTTATCACTTCAGTTCAACAGTTGTGAGGTGAGTTTTCCTCACTATGCTCAAGGGTCTAAGGGACCAAGGCCGACCCTTTTTGGATTGTTATCCTGATATGTTATGCTAGTATGATCTGTTAGATCAGTATCCTGGTAGATAGGATGGTGTTATGCTATTATGATCTGTTAGATCAGTATCCTGGTAGATAGGATGTTATTATGTTGCTATGATCCGTTAGACCGGTTTGTTTGTCTATAGACGGTTATGTGATTATCTGTTATAAGTGCACATGTTTGATTGGTGGTTGAGGCTTATCTGCTTTGTGCGAAAGCCAACGGACCTGGGCATTCTAATCCGATGGTTATGGGCCGCGAGTATTCCATCCCGAGGATGATTGGACTCGTAGTATGAGGGCATTCCAACCCGATGGTTGTGGGCCTGGGGTATTCCATCCCGAGGATGACTGGACCTATAATATGATGTCATTCCAACCCGATGGTTGAGGGCCTGGGGTATTCCAACCCGATAGTTGATTGGACCCATAGTATGTTGTTTGTGTTATATGTATGTTGATGTGCGTATGGGTATTTTGGGGGAACTCACTAAGCTTCAGGCTTACAGTTGTTGATTTTGTTTCAGATACTTCTGATGATCGCGGGAAGGCGAAGACATGATCGTACATCTCCTGTTGTTTATGATTTGATTATGGGATATTTTGACACTAAACTATTTTGAAAACAACTTTTGTAATAATCAATGGTTTTGGGATATTTTAAAAGTTTAAAATTGGCATGATTTTTATGGATGTTACATGAGGTATAACAATCATTCACCTCTTTCACAAGTACCAGTGAAATGTGACTTAGTAATCTTTCCAAGTAAACAAGATTCACATTCATCATCTGATTTTGAGTCAAACGATTCCAACACTCCATCCTTTTGGATTTGGGCGATGCATTTCTTATTAATATGCCCAAAATAACAATTCCGTAAGCATTCATTGTCTAAACCATTAGAAGAATGAATACTAAAAACACTATTGCCAAATTCATTCACACACACACACACACACAACAGTTTCATACACACCATTACAAGGATAAGCTTTGAAAATAAATGCACAATTTTTATAAACCAAATGCACCACCACTATTATTGAAACTATAACGATATACTTGTCTAAATAAAGCATGGAATTAAATTATGTTTCTTTTTTATTTCTGATGAATAACAAAATTTGTTTAAATCAACCCTAACACTATTATCAAACACAAGCTCACAAACTCCAATCCTGGTAACAACCGACTCTTGCCTATTCCCATGACCAGGTTCAACTTCCCATGCTTGACCTCTTCACTTTCCCTTAGTCCCTGTGTATTAGAACAAATGTGGAAACCACATCCTGTATTATGGATACAAGAGTTTGAAACAAAAGTGTTAGTGATTTTAATAGAGTATATAACATATGTAGAGCCATACAACTTGTCCTTAGCTTCTCTTACTTCTTGTAGGTACTTAGGACATATTCTCTTCTAATGTCCCTTTTAGCCACAATGAAATCACATGACTTCTTTCATATCAACGACAGGAGGAGCATGGAAGTTGACTTTTCCCTTTGACCTACTGGACTCTCCAATGTGGGATTTCCTTTTCCACTTAGGTCGGTAATAGGCCTTTCTATTCTTCCCCTTGACTCATTGAATAACCATGAATGGGTAACTTACAACACTGTTGGAATGAGACTTCTTCATTCTTGCTTCATCTATTTGCAATATATTGTGAAGCTCAATCAATATGGTATCAGTATTGTTCAAATGATATTTCAAGATGAACTGATCATATCTACTAGGTAATGAGTTAAGCACCATGTCAATGGCAAGCTCCTTTTCAAATTTCACATTGATCTTTTCCAATCTCTCCACATGTCTCTGCGTATTTTGTACATGAGCACACACAAATTCCCTTCTTTTAACTTGCACGCCATCAGGGCCTTGACGACTTCATAAAGCTCTTGCCTCGCTTTCTTGTGGAACATTTGAGAAAGAGCCAAGTTCATTTCACAAGGTCAGCAGTCCTCATAGGAATTTTGAAGTTTAGGTGTCATGGTTGCAATCATAATGTAAGCGACCTTAGTGGCGTCGTCAACGTATTGGTTGTATTCAACCAATTCCTTAATGGTAGCTTGTTATTTGAGAGGTTTAACAAAAGAGTGAGGTTGTAAGTGGTAGGAAGGGGAGGAGGTGGAGGAAGATCACCATTTCCAATGTAGCATCCCAAAAATCAAGGTAAAATTTTCATTTTTAAAACCATCCAAAAACCATAAATGTCTATGATAACGTCTATTTTGTATATATATATATATATATATATATATATATATATGACGTTTTCTTATTATTTTATACTATGCTTTTATGCTATTTAGAACTAAAAGGTACTCATAATGCTTAAATTTACATTTTACAGGTATAAATTGTTGCTAGAGCGGAAACGAAGCGAAAAAGGAGGAAATTGGACTTGGATTGCTAAAAGGAATGAAGTGGTTGAAGAGGCCCATTACGCCCAACATAATGGGGGAACGCCCAACGTTCGCGGCTGGGTCGAAAAGTTAGAAAATGCGCTGATTTACAACGTACGCCCAACGTTCGTAAGTCGGTTCCAAAACCTATATATTGCGATCTAGGGTGGACCAGAAGAGAGATTACGAATTTTACTGATCCTTGATCGACAAGAAACCCTTCTTCTGTCGTTTTGAGGGTCTAGAAGGCGCCCAGAAGGCCTTTAAGTT